AAATTAACATGGTGAAATTCCTGTCGAAAAACAGCTTTGACATTAATCACAACTTTGAACTTCGAACGTATGATCTCATGCGGGTCACAGCAGCATAAAAGGGCTGCCAAAATCCAACAGACGTGCACATTCACCGCTGGTTATGCTTATACCTATCGCAATCGTTTATCTGGTGAGCTTACATCTTTTGTTTTGACTCCGTTTAATGAGTTTTAAGGAAGAGCGCTCCAACTTCGCTCAAACGTGTCAGTATGATCTAAAAAGGATTAGCGTCTTGAATTTCTTATAGAGTTATGATTGCGACATGGAAGCAAACATGATGGCATGGGCAAAACAGTGCCATTTCTATCATAACCCACCCGCAGATAGGAACTACTGGGGACAAAACATATATGGTGGGAGATCAATACTACAATTTCACCTGGCCGTCAATTGCAGAAACGGTAAGAATTTAAGAAAAGACGGTAAGAAGACTAAATATGCCTTCCCTGGAAATGGTGTCATACAATTGCAGGCCGTCATATCATGGTTCCAGGAGTTACAGGTTTTTGGTGTTCCAGAGGACAATGTCGTAGTCTCGCCTAATGAACACAAAACTGGTCACTGCATGCAGGTGACAGGAGAATATACCGCTGCGAAATGAGTTTGTTTGACAGTCTGTCATTGCAGGTGGTCTGGCTGACAACTTGGCATTTCGTTCAAGGTACTTTTCTAGAAGCTCTCTATTTCCTCGTTGTAGATAATTTTTTTTGTTAGTAAGACTGAGTGACTAATAACCTTTTGTGTCTATTGGGATATCTTACCATCGAACATTTTTTCATGTTCACCACGGATCAGAGCGTGTCCAGTTACTTCTTTGTGAAGAAAAGTTGAGATCTTCTGCTGGGTTTGTAGAAAATTAGCCGTATCCTGCGCTGTGGCGTAGACTTTCTTCAGAATGGGATTCAATTAATATTGCCGTAATGGAGGAGAGGCTTCGAAATGAATAGTGGAACATTTATATCAGTTAATGAACTTGATTCATAACCCCTAGCGAATCGTTTTTAGAACTGGAGTGAACCGAACAAAGCAGCTGCTATGCGTTCTCAGCTTCCACTTGGGAAATTTGCAGGTATTTTTTTTTATCCAAAACAAGCCTTTAACCGTTGTATGAGTTAAAATTTCTAGTTCCACCTTCTCCTCTCTTCCACTTTCAACTGTATGGAGCCCTTTCATCATATTTCTACTGATTTCTGACATATTTTATTTGCTTTTCAGAAGTTGAGGACGTCGTCAACGCCGTTCTCTTTTTACTGAGTGATGCAGCAGGTATGACAACAGGGGAAGCATTACCGGTAGATGGAGGTTTTACAAAGATGTAGGCCATGCTAGCCGAGAAAATGACACTCGCTTTATACCATCTTCATAATGAATGAGATAATGTCTGTCTTCAATAAAGAGCTGCTTATACTCTAATCATCCAGTCAATTAACTCTGGTTAACAAAGCTGTCACGTATGGTGGATTCAAACAAACAGGCTTTTCGAAAGACTGGTGAGTTTGAAAGTGGAGGAGGGTCTGGAGGTTCATTTATTGAAGTCGTCCATAGAATGCGGCTGATTGTATTCGCAAGTTGGTCAGTGGTCTATATTTCACTTCAAAATCGCTGGAATAAATAGATCACACTTCCGAAAGCTGAGGTTATCTGCTCTAAAATTTTCAAGGATTCAATGCGAGATGAATATTCGATAAGGATGTAAAAATTCTTCCAGCACAAATAAATGCTATAGAAAAGCACTCTGTTGTTGAATTGTCTGCTAATTCCCTCCTATTGTTATCGGTAGCTTTTTTTCCAGCAGTTTTCTTCTGCATAGAGACCCAAATTTCAAGCATTGAATGACAATTCAGCCATATCTCACCATTCATACTACTGCTACTGTAGCTATGGCACGGTAGTCCAATTTTTCAGTGAAATGACTGGTCAACATTAGGAAGGAAAGAATTTAAATAGCAAAAACAACTTTGTAGGTTGTTGCTCGGACCGACAACTGGAAGTGAAAGTCCTTTCCATAAGATCGTCACTTTGAACTGCGAGTTACCCTCAGAAGACGACGACAACACTTTGAGTGTCATGTGAGGAACTTATTTCCTAGGACAGCAGATTCCTTATGAGTTACCATGAAATCGGTCTGATGGAGATATTTGATAATGCCGCTTTTCCCGTATCCTTGATCATGTATTAGTCTGGAAATAGATGTGACGAGATTCAAACGGAACCAGATTTTATAGAAAAATTCACCCTTTTTGTTCTCCGTTTTGTGATGATGCCACCCAATGCCACAAGATGCTCACGTTGCCTCGTCCTAAACATTAAACACAACACGCTGTCAACTCTATTATGTTTACCATTCATTCTACGAGCTGTTTCGATCACTGATTGTGAGATGTTTACAGCTAACGCTTGTTTCTAGACAACGCCTCGATGGATCCAACAACAGCGTAGCCATCATCAAAGGTACGGGCGTTGTACTGCGAGACTGTGTGGTAGAAATCATCAAGAAAAATGGTGAGACAACAAAAATCGTTTATCATTACATAGATAGTCGTCCTTCTAACAGTATCAGTTCTCAGCTCAAGGCATCACCCACAAAAACCTTCGGTCCCACCAAAATGGGATGCTTGCTTGGTCTCTATAGACAAAATAAAGGTGGAGGCGGGGATTGAATCTTTGTGCAGAATATTTTTCGCCCTGTATGTACTGTTCCACGGCACTGAAAACTTCATTCATCTTTTCTTTCCCTAAGCAATGATAACGCCTCCACCGCGAGTTGGTCCCCGGATCTAACATGAACTCTACGAATTCTGAAATTCGTTCAACTCTCTTTTTGTATTGAAGAGGCACAACTTTTCATTTCTGTAATCTCTGAAAGGGTTGGTTGTGTGCCAGAGCATAGGATGGTTCACAAGCAATCCCGTAAATGATTTCCAAAACGAGCAGCACTATCTCATCACAGTTAGTCCTTTTCCAGATTCAGAGAACTGCGATGAACTATGTGGAGAACATGGAAAATGTTCCTTGCGGGAAGTTGGAACTCCTATAGAACATGTGGGTAGTGGTATTTCAAGAATTCTCTTCAAAGCGCCTTACATTTCAGTATGAATGTCTCTGTGTTTATGGGTACAGAGGTGTTCACTGCGAAGAAGGTGAGTCAAACCTTTATCTTTTTCATAAGTCTTCACGAAAAGCTGGATAGTGTTGCCTGATCATTGCGTTCACGGTGTTAGGGTGAAAGGAATTTCCGGAAGCAACTGAACACATTTCAGAAATGCGTACCAAATTTGCTCTAATGTATCCAATCTGGTTGTGCGTGGTAGTCGAAATTGTGCTTGTTGTGGTGGCCATCAAAAGATTCGCGTGAGTCCACTACATTATCATATCCGAGCAAAGATAGCTCCAACCTTTTACTCAGCGAAAATGATTGCACCAGTAGAAACCCACATACGCAGTCCCTTCAGAGTGCTTCACTCTTCCGGGTATCAGTCGAGCCACTGAGGCAGTCATTGAATATCGTAGAAAATCATAGTCACAAACAAGCATGCAGCGGTTCCATTAGGGTAACCACAGCTGGTGCCAAGGTGCCATTTATCAATTGCGTTTTGTGCTTACTACTGCAACGAAAAGCGAATAAAAGTTTTCTATGCACCTCCTACTTTCTTGGTGTCATTGAATTGGTTCCGGGGAACAATCTCTTTAGCGAGTTCAATATCGGCCACCCCAGCGGTTCCTAGCTTAAGCCAAACACGTACACGTTCACCTAAATGCATTTGTCTGAATGAAACCCGAGTGCATGGAGCATTTCAGGAGGGCATCTTATCGTATGTGATACATCTCAAAATTCAGTCTTTCATTCAGGAATAGGAAGTTCTTCGAACCCCCGCTTCCAGCACAGCGGTTTGTGGATATAATGTGTACTCGAAGTATGGATCCTTCCAGGAAAATTAAATGATAACAAAAAATGGGAGATCTCACTTCCGATGGTGTTATGAGGTGTCAGCTCTTCAATTGTTTTCAATCTCAAACTCAATAATTGTATCGTATTTTTGTGTTAACTGTGAATAAAGTATTGAACCTTATTGGAATCGTGGACAAACCTTGCCTAATCTCATGATCGTTGAAATATTCGCTTATTTCTCACAAGATCGTCGAGTAACGGGTAAAATTCCGACCTGGACCGGTCTTGAGCCCATTTTTAGCACCGTGCTCTTTGCTCTTTGCCTCTCACACTGCCAAGACCAGCTTGCCATCTCCTTCTTGACAGCGCTCTTTTGGTTTTTTTCCTTTTTTCAGCCAATTTTTCGGAAAAAATAATATTAAATGAAGTCTATCGCGTTCTTTGTATTGGTTTCAGTGATCTCCTCTAAACACTAGCGCGTGGCGGCTATGAGGATGTGTATACATCAAAGCATTGTTGCAAGCGCTGACCATTGGTTGCCATATTTGGCCACCTGCTTCCACCAACCAAGCTGAGGACATATAAAAACTGTCCAAGAATAATTTCCCATACACACACAATTCCTTTCTGATGCTCGTTCAGTTGCTTTTCGTCGCTCTTCTTTCTAATCACATCATCGCCCAGACATGTACTCCTGAAGGAAGCTTCGGACGTGAGTTACTATTATAATCTTTGTTGTTCATGTACCTATGGGTTTGGGTATGATATATGGAGGATCGAATTTAAAAATGTTCGCCCAGTGGTAAGTCTTACACATGGCCGGCAAATCATACAGTGTTACATGTGGGAATTGTTCAATCACAGCTCCCAGGCTAATTTCAATTATCAGAAATATACTCTTCGGGAAGTTCGAAGCAAGAAATTTCAAAGCAGTATTTCCGAAAATGAATATTACTTGTTCATGACGGAAGAGAAGAAGAAGTATTGAAAAGAAAAGAGTCATTCCAGCATGCGCGAATGGACAATGCGCTCCTGGATTTACTTGCCTATTGGATCTAGACGAATGTTGCTCTGACGATGCCATTATCACTACAGTAGCTACAGTAGCATCAGGTAAGTAAGTATGCTTGAAATTTCTCCAGAGTTTGTGAATGGAAGAAAATTGCAAAAACTCTTTGGGGAGGACTTCATTCCGCCAGTAAGCTTCCTTCAGCACTAACTTTCAAGCAATCTTTCGGCGAAGAGGACTCGTCTGTGGGAACTCTCCTCGGACAGCTTTTATTCCCCCTTACTTCGCTTTGTGGAAGTGCATTCCGTGTTTTCGAGTCATCAAAATGCATTTTTTCGAAAGCTTTCATATGACTTTAACACAAAGTTCACATCTACTAGGAACTAGAATTGTGGAACCTATAAGGAAGTCCTTGTTTCAATCGTTGTGATCCCCACTATGAGTAGGAATTTGTGAGCCTCCTTAGTTGTTAATTTTTATAAGAACAAAAAATTACGAGTTATGGCTCAATTATTGAGAGGGTAGTAGTTGATCTAAGGCAACATGTAGGAAGTATCACTAGACCGCCCTCTAGTAGTGCCACTTAACCGTACTCGCTGATAAGGAACCAAGGTTACCGTAAAGCTGAACTAGACCTTTGGAAGTGAAGTGATGAAGGCAGAGAGTTCTTTCCATACTTTTCTTGACCTAATTATGAGTATTGAGTTGTGTTTACAGATGCAACGACGGTAACAACAGTAGCTGGTGAAACTGGAGCAACTGTAAGTACAGTCTCCTCAGCAGCTGGTACGGTAACTTCATCTTCAACAGTTTCAGCGTCAAGTGGGTTACAAATATGGAAGAATACCAAGTTTTCTACCAAAAGATTTTATAATATATAGTTACAAAATTTCTATTACAGCATGTGTTGACAAACTTAACCCAAAGACGGGAGTATCTGACTGCCCACAACGTGCCAGTCTATGTAACGATGCCACATACTATGCAGTTATGACCGATCAATGTCCAAAGACTTGTGGTAGATGCTCTGGTTCAGGATCAGGCTCTACCAACTCGAGTAAGAGTGCACTATTTCCACGAGCATCAGTATTTTTCGGAAATCAGTCCGGTTTGAGTAGTAAAATATTGGCAGAGCGATTTTTCCACTCACGACTGCGTAGAATTGAATTTTTGTAAGTTTTGGGTGATGTTATCCGGGAGGCTGACTATTGGTCCTCACTCCACAGTCAACATTGATGTGAACAACAATCAGAGAGCTTTTTTGCAGTCGATCAAACAGACACCAATAGTCAGCTTATTCAGCTTGTGTGGACAAAATCAACCCGTCAACTGGTGTATCGGACTGTCCAGCGTTGTCATATCTCTGCAATAACGCTGACTACACAGCCCTTATGACCGATCAGTGCCCACTGACGTGCAATCGCTGTTCAAGCACCAACTCAACGACATCACCCTGTGAGTTCAGTTTGGTTTCGAGTCGATGTGGGAAGTGATTGCGTTGCCCAGACTCGAATGGTTACTACAAGCAATAGAGCTTGTACATTCGGTCCACGAGTTTAAAGCCTCTTATTTTCTCCAAGCTATCTTCCTCTGTGTATTCTATTTTGAGTAATTTTGGTTCAAATTTCGCCATCAACTCAGGGACCCTGGGTGTTGAGTATCGCCACCATTTCGGGGTGGTGCCTAGTGACACCTGGGACGTAAGGTCCAAGTTCGAGCTATCACGTTTCAATTCGATATCCGCGAAAGCCAACCTATAATCCCATTCCTCAGAAATAGGTTGCCTTCTCATTGACCGTTCAAGAGGACGAAAACACAGATTTACTCATTGGTTGGCCGGAGATATTTATTGTGCACACCACATATGCATTCCAATGACATAAAGATCCAGTTAACTACACTTATCAACGCTAGAAAGCTCGTCTCCTAACTTCAGTTCGAGAAAGAATTCAAAGTTTCAGCCACCAACTCAACAACTTGCGTTGATCTGACGAACCCAACTACCGGAGTATCCGACTGCCCACAACGCACAGCTTTATGTACTGACAGCAACTACATTTCTTTGATGAGGGTATGTGACTGGAAAAAACTTCTTTTGAAAATCTCTTTAGATGTTTTTGTGTTGTCTTAGTTCAGAACGATGACAGGTGCATTTTAGACGCAATGCCCGAAAACGTGCGGTTTCTGTAGCTCCGCTAGTACAGGTAGTGGCACAGCAGCCACTTCCGCAACCGGCACCGCCTCCACAGCCTCCACCGGTGAGCAGAATCCTTTAAAAAACAGAAGGGCTTGGAGTAACACTTGTATTCAGGCTGCGTTGATGCTATCAACCCTCGCACTGGAACGTCCGACTGCCCTCAGCGTGCATCACTCTGCACTGATAGCAACTACCGAGAATTGATGTCAACACAATGCCGGAAAACGTGCGGTCTATGCTAGAGGAAGATATCAGATGTGCTTGTACAATTGTGATTGTCATCCAAAGTATAAAACTTGCTTCTCTACTGGATCGATCTCACTGCAGGCTTATCGTCCGAAGTTGAGGCTGGCATATAGCCATCACTTGATATTCAAGAAAACTGGGCTACCCGTCGGTAGGGACTGACCATCGCCTCAATAACGACCAACTTGCTCCTATAAAACTCTGCTAAGCTTGCAATTGCAAATTATTCCTTACCTCGCTTCTATGAAGTAGATGCTTCCTACCATGATCGAAAGTATGTAGGAGCTGTCCCAGGAACAACAGAAAAGAAAGCATTCGATTAGTGGTGCCATGACTGGGCTGGCATTATTTCAAGGCATGCAAAATGCTCAGCAAAATATCAGAAAATGTGAAGTGCTTGACACTCCTCTTGCTTTCCTCCCCTTTCCTTACTTGCCCATTCTTTCCTATTCTACATACAAGTCTCCAAATGGGTGCTGAAACTAAAGCTGAAGCTTTGATACATCCAGTGTGTCGGTAAAGGCCGAAGAGAGAGACCGCACGGATGGGCGACCTCCTAAACGCAAGGCGTACTAAGGGTGATCATGGGAGGTCAGAAAGTGATCGCGCGGGGAAGTGAAGGCATCGAGTAGGGTGGTTGAGTAAGTGAGGTGGTGGACGCGTGTGCTCGTCTGAGGTGAGGTCTCCCCTCATCTCTTCTCTGTGTGGCCTTTGTGGCCAAGTCACTTGTTAAGGGCCTTTGTGGCCGATCCCTATTTGAGGGCCTGTGTGGCCGTAGCCAGATAGTCGTAGGGCCTTAGTGGCCAGAGCTAGCCTTAGTGGCGAGAGTAGTAGCGGCCTTAGTGGCCGAGATCCAGCGTAGGTCCCGAGGTATCCCCTAGGGGCAATTGAGTTGGAGTACACGATACCAGTACGAGTGGGTTCAGGGGACCGCCGCAGCGAACTCTCTCTTCGACTACCGCGCAAGCAAGCGATCTGTGGGAATTGATCTAAACTTTGTCTGTAATTTGTTTTTTTTGTTTGGTGTTGAATAATTGTTCTGTGTTTCTTTCTTAAATAAATTTGTATCAAATCTTCTCGTGAATCTTGTTGGTCCGGTGGTGCACTCCACTCCTACCTCTTTCACGATTGTGCTCTTAATGTACATGGGGGCCGAACTGGCCGAACTGGGTAGTGCCTGGAGTGTAGATATCGTGACGTCATATTGATTATTGATTGCGCGGCGTGCCACACGTCAAACATTCGTATCTGGTTGTTCTCTTTTGCGCGTGAATCGTTGGAATCGCGATTTTTTTGTTTCGTTTTTTGATTTCGTGATCGAATCGCGACTTTTCTTTTCTTTTTATTCGATTTCGTGGTGTATTGATCGTGTTGACCAGTTGGGTAGCACTCGAGACTACCGCAAAGCAAGGGTAGCCGAGCTTTTTGTTTCAAAGTGGCTAAGCAAGAACCACTCAAGGGCACCCGAATTGCGTGAGTCGGTGTCACTGGGTAGTAGAAAAGGAGAATAAGATGAACGATTGTAGGCAGAGCCCCGTCGCCGTTGAAGATTGTGTTAGTAAAGATATGGACGAAAATGTGAATCCCACGGAGGTAAGAAAGAGTCTGTTGCTTTCGCCTAAGACGAAAACAAACATGAGGGACACGTGTGTGGCCCTGCTAGGGGAGTTACAAAAGAAAGTAGGGAGATTTTGTGCGAGTCCCGCGAATCAAAGGAAAAAAGAACGGAAATCGAAAAAGAGTTTTTGGCCGCCTTCAAGAAACTGGAAGGGATGGAAGGCGTGACCACGGACAACAGTAGTGAGAAAGGGATTCCCCATGAGTTGGAGAGAGAGGTGAGTAAAATGTTGACTCAGAGAGGTATTGAGTAATGTGAAGAGTGGCACGAGTACATAAATACTATAGAAAGAGATGGGGAAGTGTTAGCAGGCATTTGTGAAATGCTCAACACAGATGTGTTGCAGGTAAAAAGAAGTGTGGCGAGCCTTCAGCGCGAAGCGGGGCGCAAAGATGAGGCAATGGAGGTTCAAGGTAGGACAGTCGGGGCAAGTGGTGTGGGTGAAGAAGCCTACAACAATCAGTTGCAGATAGACAGATATATGCAGATCGCTCGAGACGACATTCAACATCGATGGTTTCGAAAACACCGGCGTTGGAAGACTCAGGTTCGTCTATTTCTCAGCAATTGTTGATGTACCTAAGATCGATGGCATGTAGTGACCCAGGGGTGTTCAGAGGCACTAAGGGCGAAAGTTTTGAAGAGTTCCTGAGAAGGTTTAAAAGGAANAACCCTCATAGAAATATTGAGCGACGACCACTTAGCAGGGGAGGCAAAAAGCATATTCGCGGCTCTTCCGAGGATAACGAAAGAGCAGGGGCTCGATGCAGTGACAAAGGAAATGGCTAGGCTTTTATCCTATGACTCAACAGCAGGTCGGATGAGGGCGCTCACGGAGTTGCGGAATCTCAAGTTGAGACCGCATCAGGAAGTAGCCGAATTCTGCGCCGTATTGGAGAAGCTGGGACGACAGGCCAACCCGGAATGCACGATCGAAGACCGATCATTGGAGTACGCGCAAATTTTGTTGGACAACCTCAGAGAGTGGCCTGAACATTTCCAATTGGTAGGGGCATTGCATAGGATTGCTCTATGCAATGCCCCTACCCTAGGGGCAATTGAGTTGGAGTACACGTTACCAGTACGAGTGGGTTCAGGGGACCGCCGCAGCGAATTCTCTCTTCGACTACCTCGCAAGCAAGCGATCTGTGGGAATTGATCTAAACTTTGACTGTAATTTGTGTTTTTTTTGTTTGGTGTTGTTTATTTGTTCCGTGTTTCTTTCTTAGATAAATTTGTATCAATTCTTCTCGTGGATCTTGTTGATCCGGTGGTGCACTCCACTCCTACCTCTTTCACGATTGTGCTCTTAATGTACAGTGTTACCTTTTTGGTTCAGTTACTCATAAAAACATTTTATATTTCAAATTAGTATTCTGATTGGAAATGAGAAATGAATAATGAATACAAACCTACAATGAATGCAAACCTTCGAAAAAATATCAAAATCCATTGTTTTTGTCTTGTTACTACGAAACACCGCAAAAGTTTGTAGTCATTACTAATTTGGATTTTAAGAAAACAAATCCATTTGCCATAAATTACTTTGTTCGTTTGTTAGTCAACTCCATATAGTTACTACTCTCTCAAGCATAATTTAATGGTATTAGGTTGGGAGGAAGGTCCTGCAACAAAAAAATTGAACCGTCAGCAATTTGTATCAACAAAGTGAACATGGTAGTAAGAGTGATAAACTTGTAGGATCTCCCTCAGCTAATCAACTTATGAGTAAATAAGGGCGCGCGTGTGGGCTTTAGCAGCATTACGGTCAATTAATGGACAACACCCAGTTCGTACCATACCTTAGTTCTACTAAGCACGCCAAGGGAAAAACGCGGGTGTAGCGGCTCAAATTATCAGCCACCTGTTCAGTGCTGGCACTGCTCACCGATCAACAGTCAA